TCTCCCCGTTCCTTCCCTTGCGATTGTCACGCCAGGGTATATTTGAGCTATTTGGTGTTTTCATGCCCCGTTACCCAAAAGGAGAGACCTACAGTACTTACCACTGTCATGGGTAGAATGCATGCAATCTGCTTCCTAAAGACGTTTGTATGTTTTGAGCCTGGGATGAGACACCAGGTTTGGCACTGACACCCAAACGAACCATAAACTCTTCTAGATTTAAAGGAGATCCCAGATTCTCCTACATCTAAGGAGGGAAATGAACCGATCTCCTGTCTACTCAGGAGTCAGGATCTCTGGCTGCTGGGCCCTTGGAGCTGAAGGCAGGTGAGTGCTGCAGCTTTGCTGTCTCTAAATTACTTAATGCTTGGCTGCGTGGCAGAATGCTTTTTCACAAGAAGTGGAGAAGGTGGACAATGAGAGGAGGATTATTGTGGCGTGAATGGGACTACTTTCAGGAGAGTAATTGTTTCAGCATGTCTTGTGTAAACCAAAAGGTGCAACTACTACTACCTTTATTCGCTCAGATTGCAAAACTCTGTTCTTAGAGGCGATGCAGATATCCAAAACTTGCTTGATGTAGAGGTACAGGTTAAGAACCGGACACTTTTGTTTGATATCCATTTGGAGTGGAAAGAATATTTGGACATCTTTTTTTTTTTTTTAAATGGTCAAACCCCATATTTTTAGTCAGAAAGCCCTGACTAGAAGAATCTTGGACTGATGTGAATCTTCGCAGTTTCAGTCAACTTCGGTGCAAAATTCGCACAGGGTTGAATTGCATAGAAAACATTTTCTGCGCAGGAAATGTGCAGATCAGGGAATAATGCTTCCTCTGCAGGGAATGCTGTTTTCTGTGCAAAATATCCACATCCAAATTTTGTGCAGAATAAGTCCCAAATTGTGAATCACCTTCGAAAGCTGTGGTTTTTGAAGACTTTATTGCAGTAGGAAGAATATTGCTAAGAAGAACGTTGCTAAGAAGAAACGTGAAGAATAACATCTCTACTAGACCAGTCCTTTGAGGAATTGTTCTGTATCTCCACCCACTTAAAGAATCAAAGTGGGGAACCCAATGGGTGTGAATTGGAGAACGCGAGTCTTCATAAAGTGTGCATCCTTTAGTTAGGCAATTGTAAATTTTACCCCCTTTGCCCTGTAGCAGCCCTTTAAATTGATTGGGATGGTGAAACAGCAGTGCTTTTAAAAGGTGTCGTTTTGAAAATCCTTATCTTTGGGGGGTTGCAGATTGCCAGAAATAGTGCAAATTCAGTCCACTTTTAGGGTTAGGGTTAGGGCTAAGGAATCATGGGAACTGTATTTTATTGTGGCACCAGACCTCTCTGACAGAGAAGGCTCAATGTCCCAGAAAAAAAACAATTCCCATGATTCCCTAGCACTAACCCTAACCCTAAAAGTGGACTCAATTTGCACTATTTCTGGCAGTCTGCAACCCCCCTTTGTATCATTTTTCCAAACTGAAAGAATATTCTAACCTGTATTTTGGATTATTGTCAAGTGCACAGATAGGATGATTGGATTATTCAGGATTAAATCTGGGGGGCAAAATTGCTTGATAACTTTTTGGTAACTGTGTCGTCTTTACCCATCCTTGTTTTTTGAAATGGATAAACAAGAGGTGCAAAAGCAGTATTCTGTTCTTTGTCTCTGTGAACTTTATACCTGTCAATTGTGACAGCCTTGTAGCTGTTTAGGGCCTAAATACCCTAAAGGCACCAGATCCCATCTGATCTTGGAAACTAAGCAGGATCAGCCCTGGTTAGTACTTGGATGGGAGACTGCCAATGAATACCAGCTGCTTTAGGCTATATTTCAGAGGAAGCAACTGTCAAAAGCACCTCTGAGTATTCCTTGCCTAAGAAAACCCTTTGAAATTCTTGAGGTCGCCATACATCACCAGGTAACCTGAAGGCACATACACACACACTAGCTGTTTATTTTCACTGTGCACTTGAGTTACAGGTATGCATTTAATATGTACTGAACACTGGGGCTTAGATGTTCGCCATGTCTTTGAGTAAATATACATGTTCACACATCCTGGTTCTGATTCTCCAAAATGGACCATTGCAAGATCATAACAGGCTTAGATGGCTCTTGGAAAGGATGAGACACATTCATGGCAGGAGGAAAGCCTTATCTGCAGCTGTTCACAACAATAACTTTGTGGAGCCTCCATGTTCAGGGGCAGTGTACCTCTCAATATCAGTTGCTGGGGGCACATTACAGGAGCTTGAAGGCATCGGTTTGGTCACTGTGGGGAATCAAATGTGATCCAGGTAGGACTGTTCAACCTTCCAGGTGTTACTGAACTGTAAACTCACGGCATTTCTCCTCACTGGCTATGCTGGTTAGGGCTGCATGGTTCCTATCCCTGGATTCCTACCCTTTTCCTGATCTAGCAAGATTCTCCCTGTGTTCTTAATGGGACCTGGGAAAGTTACAATTGGGGCTCAGACTCCCCCAGACAGATTGGCCAGAGGATTTTGAGAACTGCGGTCCAAAAAGTCATTCTTTTTAAGCCTCTGATTCCTTCCACAGTCTTCCCCAGCAAGGCTTACTGACAATATTCTAATCTTCTAAGCAACACATTTCGAATGCTTAAGACCCTTCTGATGTGTTAGCCAACATTCCCAGACTGTGGGCCAGTATTATTATCTTCGTTTTGCAGAGGAGTTTCTGAGGCTGAGAGGCAAAATTGGTTACCATAAGCCTTGTTATTTGTGCCTGAGTGTGTGTCTGTGTGTGCACGCCTGTGTCTGTGCTTTCAAGTTGCCGGTCAACCTATGGCATCCTCATGAATTTCATAGGGTTTTCTTAGGCATTTCTTAGAGGTTCCTTCCTCTGAAATATAGCCTACAGCTATATGCAGTCTCCCATTCAATCTCTAACCAGAGCTGACCCTGCTTAGCTTCCAAGATCAGAGGGGATCTGGTGCCTTTAGGGTATTTGGGCCTATTATTGTTGTTTATTTATATAGTACCATCAATGCTCGTGATCCTTTATAAGTAAAATAACAAAAAACAGCCAGCCCTGCAAAAGGTGTACAGTGTAAAATAGAAACATGTGCACCCACCAAAGAAGGATGGGTTAATGCATATTTAAAAACAGCAACTAGAAATACAATTATAAAACAAATTGTTGTTGTTGTTGTGTGATCTCAAGTTATTTCCAACTTATGGCAACCCTAAGGTAAACCAATCGCAGGACTTTCTGGGGCTAAGAGTGTGTGACTTGCCCAAGGTCACCCAGTGGGCTTCTATGGCAAGTGAGGAATTGAACCCTGGTCTCTAGAGTCATAATTCAATGCTGAGATGACCACACCACAGTGGCTAACATGTAAAACATATTCTCCAGACATCATACAAAAAGCAATACAACATATGTCCAAGAGAGTGACAAATACAGATAATCCAAAAATACAAGGAGACAAAACACTCTAGATGAAAGCCCTTCTGCAATGGCCACTTAAGAATCAAAGGCCTGAGAAAACAAAAAGGGTTTATATTTTGTTTTTGCTGCTTGCAGGAATCAAGCATGTCCTCACCTGAACAGAGTGGCTTATGAAAAATATATAAAATTAAGATGAAAATGAGAATAAAACATGAACAAAAAATATCAAACACTCCCAAAATTATTCGTTTTTTAAAATAGTAAAAAAGCAATGATCAAAGTTCCTCAGACGAGAGAAGCTTCATAAAATAAATGCCCAAATAATAGCCTCACTTCTTCCTAGATCCAACAGTCTACTGTTCCTGTAATCATAGAATCATAGAGTCGGAAGGACCCCAAGGGTCATCCAGTCCAACCCCCTGCCATGCAGGAACTCTCAGTCAAAGCATCCCTGATAGTTGGCCATCCACTGTCAAACAGCTTTTACTGTCAGGAAGTTCTTCCGAATGTTGAGGTGGAATCTTTTTTCCTGTCTTTTGAATGCATGGTTTGTTATGGACAACTTCATTAGTGTGCCATGTCTCACGGTGTAGCCATACTTGTCAGAGGAATCTGGAGCTGTGGTCCAAGATAGTAATGTTTCCAAGCTCTGGAATATAACTACAATTGGTCCTCTGTTTCCATGGATTCTTAACCATGGATTCGACCATCCATGGTTTGGAAAAATTTAAAATATATAAATTCCAAAAGCAAACCTTGATTTTGCCATTGTATACAAGAGACACCATTTTCCTACACTGTTGAATTCAGTGGGACTTGAGCATCCACAAATTTTGGTATCCACGGGGAACCTAGAACCAAAACCCAGTGGATACCAAGGGCCCACTGTATTTGGGTCCTAAAGGTTAGTACTTTAAAACACCAGCCACAGAAATCCCTGCTCAGTCCTCCCTGTGGCTTCTGAACTTCCATCACAAGTTTCAAATACATCATTATATCCTTGAGGGCTAGAAAGGTGTTGGGAGGAGGAGAGAAGCTAAGATATTTAGGATGCTTGCTCTGCCTGGTGCCTGCCAACAATTTTTTTCATGATTGCATTGTTCTGGGATTGAGTCGGGATTCGAACTCAGGTCTCCAGTAGTCCAATATTCAAACCACTGAACCATATTGGTTCTCTAATATAAATTACTTGGAAATATTGGTCTACTTACTGATGAGGAGCGCTAATAAATCTCCTTTGCATCCCGTTGGAGAGCTGAATTCTCAGTGTCTCTGGTTATACATCCAGGTTAAGGATGTATGCAGCTTTCAATCCAGCGGTAGGGCATGTGTGTTTTTAAGACCTCTGTGCCAGGATGATATTACTGTATTGTGGCTTGCGCATTAATGCGTAATAATTGCTGGCTTGGTTAAAACAATGCTGCTCCTGTTAAGTTGTTGTGTGCATTCAAGTTGTTTCTGACTTATGACGACCCTAAGGGAAACCTACCATGGTGTTTTCTTTGCAAGTTTTTTCAGAGGGGGTTTGCCTTTGCCTCTGAGGCTGAGAGTGTGTGACTTGCCCAAGGTCACCCAGTGGGTTTCCGTGGCCGAGCAGGGATTCGAACTCTCATCTCCAGAGTCCTAGTCTGACATTTAAACCACTACACCACAATGACTCTCTCATGTAAATTACTTGTAAATATTGGCCTATTGACAAGGAGTGCTAAGTCTCCTTTGCATCCCTCTGGAGATCTGAATCCTCAGTGCAAGAGCAGGAACAAAAGCCTTGCACAAAAATAACAACTGTATTGGGCCTGTCCTGTCCTGTCCGCCCTGCACACCTTAGCAACAGCACTTGTTTGTGGCAGAATCTGTCCAAGAGTCACACTTACTTGCCTCTTAATTTCTATGCGTGAACCGCACTCGGTCCCTTTCCATCTGGGGGTGGGGTGGGGTTGTTTCGTTCCTCACCCTACATCTTAACCCTCCTCCCTTCCCAGCTGAGTGGTTGTGGTTGTTTTGCAGACGAAAAGCAAATGAGCACTCAAGTGTTTTCCATGGAACTGGTGCACACGTATAATTCGGATAACCAGGAGATTTAATTTTTAACTTTTATTTGATTTAATATTCTTTTAAGGGGGGGTGGGGATAGGGTTGGGATGTATTGTACTTTTAACTTTGTTAGCCACCCCGATTGATCTCAGAGGGGCGGGATATAAATAAATTTATTATTATTATTATTATTATTATTATTATTATTATTATTATTATTATTATTATTATTACTATTATTATTATTTACAGATGCCCCCTTGTGATGTCGGAGGAGGCAGACTCTGGTCATATCATTGAGCATTGATGCTATTAAGCATCAACCATAGCTGCATAGAAGATACCATTAAAATAAAAAACACAGAGGGTGCGTCCACACTGTAGAAATAATGCAGTTTGACACCACTTTAACTGACATGGGTCTATCCTAACTGAATCCTGGGATTTTTAGGTTGGTGAGTCAACAGAGAAGGCTAAAGCTCTTGTAAAACTATGAAGTTGTAGGCTTTCGTGGCCGGCATCCATAGTTTTTTGTGGGTTTTTCGGGCTGTGTGGCCATGTTCTAGAAGAGTTTCTTTCTGACGTTTCGCCAGCATCTTTTGGAACATGGTCACACAGCCTGAAAAACCCACAAAAAGCTCTTGTAAAACAATTCCATAGGATGGAGTTACAGACCTTAAAGTGGTGTCAAACAGCATTGCAATCGGCCCTCCGTATCCACAGATTCTTTATCCACAGATTCAACCATCTGTGGCTTGAAAATATTCCAAAAAATATATATACATTCTAAAAAACAAACAAACCTTGTTTTACCATTTTATATAAGGGACACCATTTTACTATGTATCCATGGATTTTGGTAGCTACTGGAACCAAACCCCAACGGATACCAAGGACCCACTGTATTTCGACAGTGGACGTTATCACACGGGGCCTAAAGCAGAAAGAATCCGCACCCA